AAACTAAACACGACGAAACTATTTACTTCTACAACAATTTATTTTCTCAAGAACATTTTAGATACACTCTAGTCGTAAAAAATACATATTTGAAATCACTTAGACCCATAACTAATTGAACATCTGAACAAATAACCAATGTGCGAGTAAATGCGCGAAGTTAACAAAGCAACAATTGAAAGATTACCATTGGGTAACATCACCTTTATTTCTTATCACGGCTGAAATTCTTTGGGGCTTAGTGTTAACCAAGTTTTGGCAAAAATTTGGTATAAAACAATCCCATATTTCTTGAAGCTTTTGCCTCAGTTCGGTGATTGTACGAGCAGGATGTTGTAGTAAAACCTTTTACATCTCGTGCCACAAAGTTTCAATAGGTGACACATCTGGACTTCCAGAAACCCATTTCAAAAGTGGTACATTATTTTCTTCCGTCCATTTTATAGCCTTTTTTGAGGTATGGCACGCTGCACCATCTTGCTGAAACACAAAATCTTGGCCGGATGTCAAACATTCTTCCATCTGCTAAAAGCGATTCTTCTAAAATTGCCAAATATTTGTTTGTATCCACATTTCCATCAATAAAATGTAGTTTTCCTACTCCTTTTGATGACATACTGCCCCAGACCATAATGGATACTGGAAATTTCACTTTTCTCTTCAGACAGTCAACATGGAATGCTTTATTTTTTTGCGAATAACTCTACTGCGACTGTCACCAACACAAACTTCGAATCGGGCCTCATCACTCCATTGTATTGCACACCATTGTTGAGGTGTTCATTGTCTGTGTTCTTTAGCCCATCTAAGCCGATTTTTCTTTTGCAGTGGAGTTAATAGTGCCTTTTCTTCGGCCTATAAACAAGTTGTGCAACTTTAGGGTTTTTACTTCACTTTTTTTTTATAAGAAAACTTACCTTGCAAGTGATAAATCCCAGTTTGTGGGCCTCTCTATGAGTTGTGGAACTCGAAATTCTCCTTCCAACAGCGTCACTCCGCAGAGCACTTAATTGTAAATAATTGGCACGCCTATTTTTCACAATTATCCTTGTTAATGCTTTTCGGTTGGCATTTGTGATATTACTTTTTTCACATATCGTGGCTTAATATTAACTGAACCAGTTACATCTTCTAACAATATTTCTCACACTGTACCACGATAAGTCTAACAAAGTTGCAATTTCTGAGTTTGATTTCCCAGATTTAAAAATTATATTATCAGTAACCGAATTTTCTCACCAATAACCTTTCCTCCACCCATTTTGAAAACCTTAACTATCCAAAACTATTTTAAACGTATTCTGACAGCTGTGATTAATAAAAACAATTGTCATGGCTTTTATTTTTCACAGCCACCTATGCGTTATAGACTTATTTTGCAATGAAATGAAAATAGGTTGATATGCTGTAATTGCAACGTGTTATTTTTATGCTGCAAATTTGATTAGGGAGTGATAAAGTTGGTGTTTTTTACTATATATTATCAAAACATTCATTGTTAATATTTTAAACCCATAACACCCTGCTACATTTTTATTATTTGTGTTTGATAAGAAAAAACTAAGATTTCAATAGTTGGGCCATCTGAAGTGGGAAGGGGCTCGTATATATATATATGTTTATTGTTATTGGAAGAGAACGATAGCTGTAATTTCTGCATCCTTGCTCTCAAAAACAACCTTATCCCTAATGAAGCTCTTCTAGATACGCCCGAGGACGTATCTGCAACCCAATACGGTGTTGGAGAAGTTTCCCTGGTATTTTTTTCTCTTTTTCTTCCCTAATTTATCGTTCGATGCCGATTTACTTTGAATACATTAAAATTCATGCGACGATTTGCGAAAAGAAAATGGCGATAATTAAAAAACAATGTCTACGGCAGAAGCCGGCGTTCGATATTCGGCGCCTTTTTTTGTAATTATTGGAATGGAATTAAGGTATTATTGGAGAGAAGTTGATGTTCCAGGCACTTTTTATCATTTTTCCAGCTTAGGAGGCTTCCTTTGTATATTTTTTGATGTAGAACTTCTACCTTTGGTAAACGCATTGGTAAATGAGGATACTGTGAAATATTGGAATCGGATATAAAAATTTCACGAAATGAGAAAATTCATTCATGTCGCAGATAAAATGGTATAGTCACCTTTCTATGAGCTCAAAACGTTTCTAACATTTCCTATCAAATCGAAAAGATTTTGACAGAGAAACTTGCTCCCATAGTTTGGCGAAATATCGAATAAGTCACAAAAAATTAGGGGTCTCTCCGTGTGCCTTCGACGGAAGATTGTACTGCATGGACGGGCCTGTTAATCGTCAATCGGACAATCGCTGACCCGCCCTGCTCTTCTGAATTGAATCCCGGGGTTAGGCTCTTCTTGTTGAAGTATATAAACCAAAGTCCCGCGCGTTGACTCAAAAAAAGATGGTACGTTTGTTATCCATGAGTTTATAACACGTGAACGCTATTGGTGGTTTATAGGTGGACTCTAGAAGTACTAGAGGTTTCAGTTGTTTTATTTCCCACCTAGTTGGCGAAGAAATTTTGTAATCACGAAAATCTTTGAATATGAAATGCTTCTTGGATGTTAGAATATCTTGTCACTCGTTTCCTCTATGTGTCTTTCTGTACCCTAACGCTTAGCCCCTCTGCAAGTTGGTAAGTACCGCTCAGATTTCGATGCAACTTTGACTAAAGGCTATTACTGTGCCAAAGGCAAAAAAACTTTGTATTTTTCGAAAATCGATCCAGTGGCGGCGGAGCTACGGGCAAAACAATCACAAGAAGACTAAGTGAAACTTCGTTTTTGAGGATTCAGAGACTCCTGCTCATTTTTAGATTTTTGGAGGGGAAACATGGAAGTGCGGGGCGGCTGGAGGAGGGGAAGGGCATGTCTCAGTTCTTTGACGTTGGTACTCGTTTATTTATATGCTTCTAACCTCGGTAATCATGCGAATCTACCAGACGAATTGCACATATAAGACGAAAATGGAAGATAGAACTCTATATCATGACACTAAATTCTGTATTTTATTCGTTTGAGTGGCGGAATTGCTGCATTTATCCATGATTCCTCAATAATTGATTTGAAGAATTACATGCCGTAAAAAGAGTCCTAGTTCTGACTTGAATTTTGCTAAAGTCTTGAAATTTTAGTCAAGCTGCTGTAAGTATTTTTCATTAAAATTGTTGCATAACACCTTGTCGACCTAAAAGTATCCAACAAATGCAGTGTTTTGTCAACTATAACATTTTCTCAACGAAGTTTGGAATGAAGTATTTTCCACATTGACAACAATTTGTTTAAGTTCTGAAATCGCTTGCTTATATCAAGACAAAATAAGTGAATGGTCAAGTCATTTCAAATAACTTTAAGCCAAGAAAGTACTAATACCCCTCGTATGCATTCATTATTCAGCAAACAAAGCATTTATAAAATCAGTTGACGCTGGGCAAACGCTCTACTCAACTCGATCTAGAGCTAAGGTTTCATCTCAAAATGTAAATTCTCTTCGTATTTAGCTGACTGCTTTTTTATGAACGACGTAAGACTTTAGCTATTACTCAAGGCGATAGTAAGATCAAATTGCACGATTTATTTAATGCTCATTGCCGAAGGGAGTGAATACAACCTCCTAAAGTGGGTTGTAAAGGTAATAGACGTTTCAGTAAATCATAACCTTAGCTATAAAGAAGATTGTCTACAGAAGTGTTACATGAAAAATAATTAAGTTTTGTAGGGATACTAGTCCCAGGAGTTGCAAGCTCACAACGTGAACGCTACTAGATTACAATATACCCGTTTTTGGTTCCAACAGCAATATAACTGTTGCAGGGTCAAAGGTCAATCACAATCCGATGATGATATCACAGCTGGTCAAACCACAAAAAGGACTGCTGAAAGTTGAATTCAGTCCTGAGGCCCTTTGCATTTTGCCGTCGAAGCAGTAGCAACTATACTGTGACATAGAAAAAAGAATCCCCAGTAATGATGAATTTATTACAAATATTTTCTAGATATATGTTTGCTTAAGTTAGAACAAGAAACGATGAGCTTTTCAGCCAAATCAGTGAAGTAGTTTTTAAGATATTGACACTACTTGATCTTCTTGCAGAGCTGCTTTAAATCGAATGGTTACACTGGCCCATAGATCTCCCGAACTTTCACCCAATAGATACGTCTAGGACATTATGGGAAGAAGATTACTCAATTTATCCCAGATTTACACCATTTTCCATAGACTCCAGCGGCAGTTCGACCCCGAGGTACAAGTAGCCTGGAGAGAAGAGTTTCTGATTGCATAAGAGGTCCAACGAATTATTAATTTTTAATATTTAATTTTTCTCAACAGCTGGATTATTCTGATCTTTTTATCAATTACTTGCCTACCCCTATAAGACATAAAATTGTTGTAACACATTCATTACTAGTATGAGTTCTTTTTTCTATGTCGCATAGTATATGTTGACATCCACAAGTATCGCTCAAATATGTATATGAAGTGATACGGCTGGTTGCCTAATCATTAAACAATTTCTGAGTGTTAAATTAACAAAATTCTATCTATCCATTTCCGAACAACCGTTTTCCACAAGTACTACAACAGAACACTGTCAATTAAGGTAGAATCTCCATGATGAGAGTAAGCGAGAATTTTCTTAAGGCTTTCTATCTATGGCTAATATGAGGGAGACCCTGCTGGATGTAAATATTTTTAAAGTGAAGTTGAGAAATTATTTAAAGGAAGATGTGATATTGCATTGATAAAGCCGCTACTTGTAGCTATGTATTCTAGCACTGCCTTCTTCAATAGTTTTAATTGTCATGATCATGGGTGATGAGATGTCTCTTCTCCGTTACAGAATACAAAGTATTGTTGTAGGTTATAACAAAGATGTGGCATTTATGTCACTATCATAGGCATCCGGCATCTGAAGATAATTTTATCACAGCTATATGATTATGATTACCCTACGTAACAATACATTTTCGTTTTTACAGATTCCAACGGACATCAAGTGATGTTTTGCTAAGCTGATTTCAATAAAAAAGAGGACATGATGACTCGGCACCCAGCTCTCACTGTTTTAAGTGGTAAGTACCTAGTAGGTGCATTTTACAGCGTTGCGTATCGCAGATGCTTCTCAGGCAAAGTTTTTGATAAAAATTTCAGAATACTCCACCATTTGCATTACAATGTTATCATTCTACTCGAGTTTGAGCTGCCCACCTGCTCTTTTCTGCAGGTAGTCAGTCGTTCTAATTTAGCCTTCTTTATCGTGTATTGGTAAGGAGCCTTACACCGTAAAAGCAACAATTGAACAATACACTGCATTACGTTTCAAAAAATAACTATATCTAAAATGCAAAATGATGTTGTTTGGCTGTCATATGACACGTACATCGCAAAAAACCATGTCACTCATTTCCGCACATCCTTAGCCCGTCTATAACTGGGAAAGTACTGCTAGAATTTGGATGAAATTTTACGCAAGACGGCTACTATACCAGGGAAGAAAACGCTTTGTGAATTTTGAAAATATACCATACTCCTGATCATTTTCTAGAAAAAACTTGTACAGGTTAAAAACTGGAGATCTGAATTGTGCCGGATGAGGGAGAATATATCTCAGTTTTTGTCGGTAATATATTATTACGCACTACACACCTATTAGTACATATACTGTAGATCATATATTTCTCCATAAATTTGCTCCTAAAATGAAGAGAAACATCAAACGGAGGTATTGCGTCCAGGTTGCACTTGCGGTACGCTACGAGTTTACCCCAGTACCCAAAAATATTGTTGCCGACTGTCGCCCAATTCCTCATCGCCATACAAGCTGGCCAACACAGCATAGCTGACGTTGCCAGATGGTCGATACTTTCACTAAGGGCAGGGAAGAAGCTTCTACGTCACAGCGTTGTCAAATGGGTGGGACTATGGACTCATTGTGTAGGCCTGATTGGCTCATTTACACCATTTAATTATTTTTTTGTGTTATACATGTTCGTAGTTAACTTTTTTGTTGTGTGAGTCAAACTACTTGACGCCATTTTCTTAGAAATCGCCGTTATTTACGGAATTCCTCTTAGGAGAACCGATATTCTCTTGCTAGGTAAATGATGATCGTGAGGATAAGGCCTAGGTAAATAATGACTATATGTATGTATTGTGTTACTACATACTAGTAAAGTCTGTTTCATGTCTGAAACTATTATCTTTGATTGTATTCATTTAACCCATTATTTTGACAGCAGCCCCAATCTACTTTAGAATTGGAATATTGAAAGATGAGTGAGAAACGAATAACGTGTCGACGTACGTGGTAGGATAATGTTATGTTTTAATCCCACACGAACACCGACAATAGTTCCGGATGTTAAGGGAATTCTCAGATATGCTATATTTCAATGTCTGATCAAATTGAATGCGGTAACATATCATACTTAGTAGTGAAAATAACTGTATACATACTTCGGCGGAGAAGGCCATTATTGTCCTCCCACACTAAGTCCCTCGGCGCTGTGCACCTCAGGATATAATGGTGCTCTGCCAATAATGGCATATTTCTCCAACAGAGGTATGTAATTTGCTATTTATATTGACGGTAAGGATATCTTTATTTGCAAACATAAAATACCCTTATTATCGAATAATCGTTGCATAAAAAGGTTGTATTGGTTGCGTATGATAAAAGTCTTGAATACCATAACCAGTAAGCAATACGGAGGCACAACCATGAAGCACAAGTTTGAGCCGATATCGGTAAGAAAGTGCTAGCTTAGATAGCTGTCAATAAATATGTGGGACGAAAACTTTTTCGAACGATTACCAGATGTATATTATAACTGTCAGGTTTGTCATTATCCATGATTATAATTACATATAGTCGGTTCGACTGCTCTATTTCCTAAAATACGAGTGCCACATTTATTTTCCACGTCGGCATTGCCGGCGTTCGTGTTTGCTGTTTACTCGTCAATCTTTTTGGATAACAGCTAAATGCTTTCACTGTAACAAATTTAGGATGGGATTACAAAAAGCGAATAATGGAAAATTTAGGTAGTTTGATGTTCAAAATGCCTCGACATTAATTATGCATACAGTTACTGTGGGAAAACAACCAATTGTTACAGTTTGACGCAGATATCAAACTAGAAACCCAATTGAAGTTTATCAAAGCTCGTTAACCTAGAAAAAGTAAACTAGGGATGTGTACACCCAATTTCTTACATTCAGTTTGACTTTAAAAACAAGCATTTTTGGCATAGTGGCCTATTTTGTGCCTATACCCAGACAAAATTCCATTTTTAATATCTAAAGTTCATTGTTTGCATTCTTTTAGGCAGGATGAAGCAGATAGTTTTAATTTTTTTTGCGCGTTTGTTAGAAAAACTTACTTCAACTTTGTGAATGAGCGAAGACTTATTCAACTCCTCTGCAATTACTACTGTATGAATAAGTTAAGAACACTTGATTTTTATTTCTGATAACGATAAATAGTGACAAGACGTTTCAGCTCTATCAACGTTGGTACATAATCCTTATTTATACAGGGTGTTTCAGTTTATTGTTGCATAACTTTACGGTTTGATAGAACTTTTAAAATTAATGCATAAAGTCTATATAAACAAGGCTCGAAAAATGCATGGCTTTCGAAATACAGGGTGTTTAAATTTACTTTCTAAAATAGTTTTTTTAAAATATTTCGAACAATATTTGATGTATAACAGTGAAAATTGGTATACAAGGGTTTTTTGGTACGACAAAACGAACCATAGTTTTACTGTAGCCGCTAGAGGGCGTTCTCTACTGTACCTGTAGTGTATTAAAATGAATTTTCGTTATAGTTAGCCGTTTTTGAGATATTTCGATTTTTAAGGTTCGATGCATTTTTAATTATTTATGATAAAATAACGATAACAAGTCAGTATCTTAATTTTTAGAAGTAGGCTGTGCCTGCAAATATTTTTGAAATTGAAAGCATAATAAGGTTAAACGTCAATTAGGTGACAGTTAGTTTTGTTGTCTGTTGAAAACTGAAACGTTTTTTTGCAATTGTGAATGCACGAAATTTAGTTTCTTTTACCTGTTTTTTTGTAAGTTTTATAAAAATGCCATTTTTATTCTCCAATCAAGAGTTAGCGGATACTCATTTTGTGTATGGCTTTGTAAATGGAAACGCAGCAGAAGCAGCCAGAGAATACGCACCAAGATTTCCAAACAGACGACATCCAACTCGCTCAGTTTTTGTAAGAGTGCATCGCCAAATAATTGAAAATAGTTTTGGAAATCTTCAAAGGGATCAAAACATAAATGTTCGTCACCGAAGATTTACCCGTATGATCCGACCACAAGTGTTAGGAGCGTTTCTGGTGCCTTGGGCATTTCAGCAAGCCATGTTCACCGTGTTCTTAGAAATGACCATAGACGTCCTTACCATTTGCAACCTGTGCAAGGACTACAGCCAGGGGACGGAGAACGAAGAATCACATTTTGTCAGTGGATTCTTGATAGAACTGATAATAATAGGGAGTTTTTAAGTAACGTTTTATGGACCGATGAGTCATGCTTCACTAGACGTGGAGTGGTAAATTTTCATAATCAACATAATATTTGGTCGTATGAAAATCCGCATGCAGTTCGGGAAAGAAATTTTCAGCATGAATTTAGTGTGAACGAGTGGATTGGTATCTACCGTAATCGACTATTTGGACCCTACCTTATGCCTGCAAGGTTAAATGCTGCGACCTTCTTGGAATTTTTAAAAGCTGAACATGCAAATATGTGGGATAATGTTATGTTAGATTTAAGAAGATTGGCCTGGTTCCAGCTTGATGGTTGTCCAGCTCATTATTCGAGAATGGTTAGAAACTGGCTGGACGAAAATTATCCAGAAAGATGGATCGGCCGTGGAGGACCAGTCGCCTGGCCTCCACGATCCCCTGACCTAAATCCATTAGATTTCTTTGTGTGGGTATTTCTAAAAGAAAAAGTGTACCAGATTCCCGTAACCACAAGAGATATGCTAATAGACAGAATCAGGAATGCATGTGATGAAACAAGGCCTTATTTGAATAATGCTATACCACGTTCGATCATTCGTACGTGTGAATTGTGTATTGAACAATTGGGTTTACATTTCGACCAACTACTTTAGATTTTGTATGTTTGTCCTAACTATCCAATAGCATTTTAGTTGTAAATAATTAATTTAATTTGTTGAAAATAATATTGGGAAATTAAACAAATTAGTATTGTTTTTTTGTGTTTATTTGGAGTTAGGAATTCTTGCTGTGTTTAAAAACACAATATAAACGATCATCTTAATTACTTGTAATGCCCAAATCAAAAATATTATTTTCCCATAAATAATTAAAAATGCATCGAACCTTAAAAATCGAAATATCTCAAAAACGGCTAACTATAACGAAAACTCAAAGGAGAGCTTTATTATGTTGAAAACTGCGAAGAATCAGTTTTTTTAATCAAAAAGCAAAAAATTGCACTAAGAAAAAATTTACGGTCATTTTAATACACTACAGGTACAGTAGAAAGCGCCCTCTAGCGGCTACAGTAAAACTATGCAAACGGTTCGTTTTGTCGTACCAAAAAACCCTTGTAACCCAATTTTCGCTGTTATACATCAAATATTGTTCGAAATATTTAAAAAAAAACTATTTTAGAAAGTAAATTTAAACACCCTGTATTTCGGAAGCCACGCATTTTTGGACCCATGTTTATATAGACTTTATGCATTAATTTTTAAAGTTCTATCGAATCTTAAAGTTATGCAACAATAAACTGAAACACCCTGTATATCTAAAGCGTAAAAAGGGGATTTATGGCCCGCGGCGTGAAACTAACAGCAAAGGTACAGTAAGCTTACGAGACCCGAGATTCAAAATTATATCTACGACTAGCTAAAGTCATAAATTTAGAGCAGCTTTTGATCGAAATCGTCTTAAATGTTAACTGCACACGGTTTTCCAGTTGTGATGCGTTAATCCCTTGAAAAAGTGAATCAATTTTATCAATAAAGTGACCTATATCATAATATAACTAACAGTAGCTGAAATAGCGCAGATAA